CTGATCACTTGGAATGTTAAAGGTGCATTACTCACGTCGTCGATAAGGCAATCAAAGAACCACAAACTGAACTTAAGGCAAGGCTATATGAAAAGCTTTCCGCTAACTGAAGTCACCGGAAGATCAATGTCAAAGCGAAAACTTACCTAGAAATAGAAGAAATCGGAAAAAAGAATGTCAATAATTTGTTGGAAAAATGAGTCAAGTGCAAAAACCAATGAAAAAAGCCAACAAGATCACCAAGCGGAACCAGAATATATATGTATATAATTGTGTGCATATATGCATTCGACTGTGTATGAGACATTTAATTGAGTGCGAAATTATTTATAATTTTTTATTGAGAGTTAGCGAACTCTTTCAGGCGCCTTAATTACCCCTGCAAATGGTTGCTAGAGATGGATCCTTATAGAGATCATTGCTCTTGTCTTCTATAAATCGTAATTAGCAATAAAATACAAGAAGATGCTTCCTTTTGTTAGTTTTAAGCTGTCAGATTCGATTTCTGATGCCTGATGTCTGCTGTCTGCTGTCTGTCGAGGATGGCGTAAACACACAGACCGTATGCCACATGCAACATGCATTGACCCTGAGTGTGTGGTGGCAACAAAGCGTTGCATTGTTCGCGCCCGATGAGAGAGTGGCGTTTGTAATTGGTATAGGGGGCTTCGATCCGACGGCGGCTTTCATAATTAATAGAGGAGTTTTCGAAAGGCGGAAGTTATGGTTAGTCATCCCAAAACCAGACGAAGAATCTACTCCATTCTACCTGCTGGTAGTCATCTTTTCAGTCTTTCATCTTACAAGGTCTAATCATCGCCATAAATAACTCCAAAATAATTCCAGCTGACAGTCGAACATTTTAAATGTCGCCTCTAAAATCAGCCCACAACAACATCAAAAATCAATAAACAAATAAATAAATAAGAAAAAACACAAAACTTGAAATATTTCTCGAGTAATTTTTCCATTTTTGGTAGCTCCAAAACCAAAAAAGGTTAAACTATTTTTTTCCTTAGCCGTTCAGTGTTCGAGCGCGTGGCCAAAACCAAAAAACTCTGAGATCTACTCTACTAACGTAAATTTGTATAAGATTTTGGTTTTATTTTTGTTTTTTGCCTGGCAGGCCAACCAAAACTTATCGTTAGAGTTTTTATCTTATCTCTTTGGTTGCAACTTTTTCTGTGATTTAAGTTCTCTCAATGCAATTTCCAAAGATACAAAGTTGCGTCATCGAGAAGAGAACTTGTGCCTATACAGATACAGAATTTCAGTTGGGAAATGGTGGCTTTTTGTGTAAACTCTTAAGTGATTAAGGTCAGGCCGCTAATTAGCAAGAAGACCAATAAATGAAAGTGGGTGAGTTTGCGGGTGCCGCTTTGAAGTGCAATTGCAGTGTGGCCGCAAATTGAGTTTAACCAAATAGTCGAGCTCTGGAGTTAACTAGAATTTCGTCATCTTCTCTTCTATACATATATACTCCACTATATATATACTGAGCAGTTGTTCAACCGGCAACTACTTTGTTCTCTGGCGCCCCCCATATCGATTTCAATTAAATATTTACAAGCGAGAAACATGTGGCTGGCCAAAGTTTCAATGCATTTCCCCAACCCAACTCAACCGAACTGAAGTCATCAAGGTAAACAGAATTAATATCAGTTGAGTTGTGGCTGAATCCGCTCCTCTTCGAACATCACATGTCGCCTGTGGCAGAGGGCGGTGGAAAAATAAAGGAAAACATTCTCCTGTCATGGCCCGAAAAATGCAACAAAAGCCAGTTGAGTTCGTCTGTGGCCTCAGTTCGATTCCAGGGGACAATTGCAGGCCAGAGGTGCAGCAAATGGGAAAATGGAAAAGTGGAAAAAAATTGCAAAAGGAATCAAGTGGAAATACCCGGGGTACCAATATCAATAGCCATGTCCCGAGCCATTGTTCTCTATCCAAAGGCAGCTGTCAGATTGCCGAGTTGGATTTCAGTTTTCAGTTTTCGGTTTGTTTTCATTTCTATTTTGAAAAATTCTTTACTTCCGCTCTATGGAGTTGGATTTTAGTGCTGATTTATATGTGGCATTTCTGTAAAGTGAATCGTCGTCCTATATATATATATCAAATATGATTTTCTAGCTGCCACAGAGAGAGAGATGGCTTTGAATTGAATTTTATTTTATGAGGCAGCTCTCTCGGTTCCTTGCCGTTTTTACAGCCACTCTTTTTCCTCTCTACCACTCCAATATAAATTGCCTTTATATAGATTTTGTTGATGCCGCGACTGCATTATGAGGATATTATTATTCCCCCGACTTTCCTATATATACTTTTTTCTCCCTTTGTCTGCCATTTATCTTCCTGCGGCCGAGTTTGTCTGGGGCGAACCTGTTTGCCTTGGAGGCATATTGGTCTCCTTCTGCTGCTCTATAAATCGAATCATGTAATAACATAAAAAGAAGCAAATTTGATTGATATCGTTTAGCCACTTTTATGTAAGTCAAAAGCTTCAACCGCAAAATTTCATTAACTTTCAGCAGCTGCCCGCATATCGAACAGCAGATGCCATAATTAATAGCCATGTTTTTCCTTTTCGTTTTTTGCCTTTTTTCATAGCGAATATAAATAATAGACAGCCGGCGGTTGGCGAAAATTATAATTACAAGACCTGCGTGTCCGAACTGCTAAGCGAGGATCTGTGATGAGTCAAAGAGACTTTCTGTCTTAAGTTTTTTTTAGATATGTTTAAGGGGCTAACTTCCTTTAGATATCTTTATTTTCATTATTTAATTCCAGTTGATCTGACATCACACCCATTTAAATGACCCACTTGGATCGCCTAGTTAAGCCATCGATTGCCATTCGCCGGGCCTACATTCACTTATCAATCATAATTTCCCCCTCCTAAGCACTCCACTTAGATAAATAGCAGCTCTCTAACCACTCGATAAATCGAACGTTTTCCATTTTGTCTTGATGTGTGTGTTTTTCCGCAGTACTTGGCTTTTGACTCTCCATTAAGTTGGCTCAGAAGATGACAGATAGCCAGGTTCTTGATTTCGCTGGCGGCCAAAATACAAGACAAAACGTCAAGCGGAGATCTCGAAATGAAATTGAAAATTACAGTGTGGTTTGGGGCAGACAGAATTGGAGATGAGAGCTTCATAGTTGGGGATGTTGGATAGTGGAGCGTTGTAACTGGCCACTGGAAACCGGTTAGGCGGTACGAGCATGCGCCGGAAAACCTGTCCAACGATTCGCTCTGCCCCAAGCCATGAAGACAATATAATGGCTCGAAGAGTCACAGCCGCAGCCGCAGAGTCGTCCAATGGCGCATCAATTATGTTAATGAAGCTTCGAATGTGTCTTGATATTGAGAAGAAGTAAAAAAAAAACAGAGTTGTTCAGGTTTTTTCTGCTTTTTTTTGTTGAAAATTTAGCGGCCGGCTTGGTTTTCAGCTTTTAGCCGGTTTTTCTTTGTTGTCCGCCTAAATGTCAGCTGCCGAACAATGAACCACAAACGACCAGAATCCTAAAATGCAATTTGCATACGTCGACCTTTGCCTACACCTTCACGCTTCTTTCAGATGAAAACTCCACATCTTTTCTCGCTTAGAGCGTTGTTTATGCTGTTACCATATCGGCCAAAAGATACTTTTGACCCTGAGCTGATTTATCTTAAAGCTTATGACAGCCGCACGTAGCTGACATTAAATGGCTGTCCGCTGTAAAAAGCTTGTAAATATTCTCGGTGAGCCATTTCCGAAAGTTGCACACACAAATGCCAAGCAAAATGTCAAACTAAATTTGTTGTGATGTTGCTGGCACAGCATGAAAATACTTTTATATATTGTACATATAGTATATATAGGAAAACAAGTATAGGAAAACAAGTGCGGTTCGTCTAAAAAAACAAAAGGGGGTTGAACTATGGGGTTGAAAATGTTTTCGGTAGCTTTTTATGGTGCATTTTTGATGGATGGTGGGAGAGTGGTTTTGATGTGTGTTGTGTACAGTAAAAACTATATGGCTCTTTTTTAAATTAAATGCTAGTTTGGTATAAAATTTTGTTAGAGGAAGTCTTAAACTTTACTGTCCTTTCAAATTATTTTAAAAATTTGTAAACAATCTAAAAAATAGCTCAAGGCTTTCTGTGTTTTGTACTTTGTTTTTCAAATTTCAAAAGCAAATTTCTTTAAAAGCGTCTTTTATTTTATATCAAATTATAATATTTACGATTAAAATTAAATCACCTTCTTCTTCGTCACTTTCTTAACTATAAGTTCGTTGAATATTATGTCACTAAGATATGATCTAATTTTAAATTCAATACTCTATTAAGTTCCTTTATTATATTTTCTTTGCCTTTTTGATTCATTTTGAGTTGTTTTTTTGTAAAATTTAGTAACACACTTCCTCTTTATCCAATTTCCACTGTAGTTTACTAGCATAATACCACATCTATAATACCAAACCCCCCCCTAATGCTCAACTTTGCATGCATCATAAAGTTGTGCTTACTGATTTCGTGGTGCACTTTTGTCCCTTTTTCTGGCGTTTGTGCACTGTGCGGTTGCCTTGGCAAAGTCAATTGCTGGCATTTTGCTATGTCGTTGGTTTACGGAGATTATTATTATGATTATGATTATTGCATTCATATATATGTTTTTTTTTTCTACTCGACTCTCCGCTTAATGCCGCATTGAGCTTTCAAGTGTTTTTGTAGATGCATTCAAAAATTCGCCATGGCTTGAATATTTTGCTAGGGAAACGAAAAGCTTAAGCTATTGTGTAACGAAACCAAAGTCAAAGATCCATAAAACCATTAGCCAAGATCAACGTAAATTAGCTCTTAAAATAAAGGCGGGAAAGTGCCAGTAAAAAAACGAAGATAAAGCGATTTTTCTACTATGATTGAAAGAACCAAGAGCCAAGAACCAAAACCAAGTCAATCCAAAACCATGCCAATAAACTCTATTTAAGATGGAAATTATCTAAGATTTAGTTCGTACCATATCGGGCCTGAAGTACACCTGTTGCGTATACATAGAGCTTTTCAGCGAGGACGTCTTATCCGGGAATAGAATGCATTTGCCGGGCATGGAGGATGTTGTTGATGCTGTTGTTGTTGTTGTTATTGTTGCATTTGGTGTCATATTCGGATGATGGCCCACGCCCACATCGGTTTTCTGGGCGGTCAGGCTGCTCGTCGAATTGACTTTGGAGGCGTGCGAGAGGCGTTTCATATGCGTCCACATCTGATGCCAGGGCGCCATTTCTTTCTAAATTGTTTTTGCGTTTTTCCCGAACCCCCCCGTTGTTTATGGGAGTTTTTCATTTGTCGGGTGGGAGTGGTTGTTGTTGTTGTGTTGTTTTTTGTAGTGGTGGGGGTAAAGGTAGAAACACGGGGCGGGGTAGATATATATTTTTGTTTGCGGTTATGTAAGACAGAGAGAGTGTTTTGGTTTTGTTTTTTTGGAGTTTTTGTGTGGGAACGAAAAAAACAGAAATAAATTGGAGTTTTATTGTCAATTTAATTGTTGCCAATTTTCGAATAGAGAAAAACTAAAATATTTTTATATAATATATAGTTTTTGATATATTTTATGTAAGCAATAAAAGTTGTAGTTGGTAAAAAGAGACTTAAATTGGTTTTTGAATTTTTCAAATTATATAAAGAAAGGTTTTTCGAATGAGAAATTTGTATTTATTGGGGGGCAATACTTATTATAGCTATTAAATATTACCAAAAATATCTCAAAAAAACATAATTTTATTTTAATATTCCCAAAACATTTCCTTGCTAAAGTCTAAAAATGGAATGAATCATAATTAACCTATGACAGGGTTACATATTTTTCTACACAGTGGTTAAGTTATGTAAACGCCACACGCACTTGGCACCCACTTAGCAGTCAGCACCCTCTTGCCGTTCCACTCCACAGTTATTACCACCCCCAACCGCCCAACTATGATGTCATACGCGCTACCAATTTGAATTCTATTTGCTTTTCAGCGGCTGTAAATACCAGGGCATGATGTCAACTTCTGGCCATTGGCTGGCGGCTCATTGCCGCCGGCGCTGAGTTTTAAAGTAACAAGAATTCCCCGATAAGAGCCAAAGCCAGTGTGCTAACTAGACTACATCGATTGATAAGATTTTCGAAATTAATCTAGCTATTTTCTAAGATAGCGTTGACTAATTTCGCTCAGTTAGAGATAAAGATAGTGATAGAGAGAGGCAGGGGTAGAGCCAAGAGGGGACTGAAATTCCAAAGAAAATTTATGAGTCCCAGATGTTGAGGTAGGTGAACTATTAATAGGGTTGAACTAATCGATCTATTTAAATGAGTCATTCTTAAAGGTGGAGAGTGGAGAGAAGGAGAAACTTTAAATTTTTCATTTAGAAAAAGCAAAAAGCTACATTAAAAAACCTATTTTAATCTAAGAGTTTTATAGGTTATCCTAGGAAACTAGTCTGGTTACTACCATGATGAATGTCTGCTATCCACAAATAGCCATAAAACATATCCCCACACACGACTCACCTTAATGATGTGTGAGTGCAGCACTCCTTGGTCCTATTATACCATTAAAAGCTCGTAAAAAACAAAGTCTAGGCTGGACAACACACCTTCATTCACATCATCATCATGGCCATTATTATTATCATCATCATGGTCATTATCTTGATCAGCGCTATTTACGCTGGAAACCCCAATGCGGTCGACAAAATGCATTAAGAGTTCGTGCCCTTGTAGCGAAAATGCGGTTATGGTTAGGGGGTCGCTCCCTGGGTATCCAACAAACCCTTCTTTTTTTCCAACAAAAAACTAACCCCCCCCATGTTGCAAGCACACACTCGCAAACCTTCCACGCAACTCGCACTAATCAAATGAAAACAATTTCCGTTTGTCATGCAAACGGTTGCAACATCAACCTACCGCCAAAAAAAGAGTAAAGTGCAAACGCAACCATAACGAGTGGAGAACGGAAGCAATGAAAATGGTCAGCGCACTGAGAAACTTTTATGTATTTTTTAAATATTTTTTAAATATTTTTAACATTATTAGCAAGCTAATTTTAAAAAGATAAACTTCATTAACACATATTTTCCTTGTAATTAGTTTAAAATCTATTCGGAAAACATTTTTCTCATTTCCCAAAGTTATTTTTTTCAGTGCACCATGCGTGCTCTCGTATCTGTGGGCTTGAGTTTGGGCCTCTGTTTTAGGTTGCCCCATTCGGGGGCATTGTTGCTGTTGCCATGACCCCTGTTCCCCTTTGTTGCAGTTCTCCCTCTCTTCCTGCCTACCCGCTCTGTGTATATTTCTCTTTTTATAGTATAAACAATTCATTAAAACGGGAAATGGCAATTATAAAGAAATTATACACAAAGAGCAATGAATAAATTCAAGGAGAGGGCGTAGAGGGGGGGCGTGGCGCCGGGAGGCCTAAGTAGATATTGCTGATTTCTGCAATGTTTTGTGAATATTTAATGTGAAGACAGACTTTAAGTGAGGCAAGTGCATGATAGAGCCCCCCACAAAGTTGCTGCAACTTGGGAAACAAATGCTTGCCCCGACTCACGCATTCGACTTGCCACAGAAAATGTAGCTAAGAAACAAAACAAAAGCAAAAACTGATTGCAATGCGGCTGTGTCTTCCACATCATCATCATCGTCGTCGTCATCGTCTTTGGGTGCATCTTGTTGCCACGCCTCGTTTAACTTGGATGAGGCGTGGCAAGAGATGAGGGGGTAGTGCAGGGCGCTTAACTCAATTGCATATGCAACATTTCGCTGCTACAAACTGCAATCTTGACTGTGCCAGCATGCAACATGTTGATGTAATATGCAAATTGTATGCAGTTGCCATTGTCTCGACAGATTTCCTAAGAAACATTTCTCCTCCTGCCAGACATTGCTGTCGTCGTCGTCGTCGTCGTCGTTGTGGAAAAATGAGGAAGCTGCCAGAGCGGGATCTCAGAAGCTTTCGAGCATGGAAGTAACTGTCATAGCGAGGTGGATGATCTGGGAAAATCCGCAGAAATGCAGTTCCAACTCAACGTAATGGATGAACAGCAACTAAAATTAATGTGTTCTACAAATTGGTTAGGCTATGAATTTCATTTGAAAAAGTGTGTCAGGTTTTCTTGCAAAAAAATTCATAATCTTTAACAAACAAAAATGAATAAATAAATTTGAAAATAAATACATATATTAGTAAACATATTTATCTTCAAATTTCTTCTATTTTTTCTTGTTATTTGTATTAAAGTCTGAGTAAACATTTCCCTTTAATTTGTTTACTCACAAATTTCCAAAAAAAAAAAGCAACTGCTGCCCTTATCGACAGCATGAAAGTTTACCATATGTTTCTTAAGGCTTTTCCCGTATGTGATGTGAAAAATGTTTGAAACAAATTGAACCATTTGCTGCTTAACAAAGGTCAGCCCTTTCACACTCAGTTTTCTCAAACCACCCACAAGATACCCCTTTCGCTGCCCTCCTCCCCACCAAATGCAATCAATTTAAAAGTTGCTCTACATTATGCCATCTCCACGCACTTAATGCAATCTATCAAAATGCATTAAGAAAAGAGAAAAAAACAATATTGCAGCTGTTGAGCACTGGAAAATCTTTTTGATTTTAATTTAAATTCAAGAAATTAAGCAGAGTTTTAACTTTTAACTATAAAAGTAAGCTTAAAGTCTTTCCAACAAAGTTTGGTAGTTTAAACTTAAATAGAGTGAGTTCCATCTTATTTTAAACTATATTTCTCTTCCAAAATCCACTATAAAGTGTATTAAATTTCTTTTCAGTGTGCTTTTTGATGTCGCTGTTGAATTTAGTGGGTCACTGTGGAGCAGCTTAATTGTGATATATCACTTTACACGCCCGAAGAGGGAAACCAAATTGAGATATGTAAAATAAAAAAAAAAAAAACAAAAAACAAAAAACAAGAACGAAACATCAAAACGTTCCGACAGACCCAGTAAAACCAGAAGCCACAGAATATTAAATGCAATTGTTCGGACTGAAAAAATGTAACCCAAAAATTGTAGCTTTAAGACGGGAAGTCCCCCTGCCAATCCGCTAAAGGAAAACATTTTTCCATTGGCATTTCCTTTTTGCATTTGTGATTTGCTCCCCTTTTACCCCAATTCGCCGACGAAAATTGCACTTCTGTGTGCCATTTGGTTTTGCTGCCTTGACTGGAAAATTCCCTCGCGTGGCTGACAGCAGCTGTCCCAACCACCCAACCACCCCCTACCGCCCATTTTCACATCCCCATCCATTTGAAGAGCCTATCAAAGCTACACAGCCTCCCAGCCAGCCCATCCCCCCTTTTATTTGCATTAAGCCTGGCCATTTATTTGTATATTTTATTGTAGAGCATATTTTCCGCTAAAGTTTTCCTCTCTTTTTCGCCTTTATGAATGAAAACATTCGAGGGGTTGTCTGTGGGGAGCCGAAAGGGGCGATGGGCGTTTTCTTTTAGGGGGTGGGGCTGTGGGGTTGAATGAAATGATTTTCTCTGTATTATTTTGTTTGGCTCGTTTTTATTTTTACGCATTTCTTGCGTGTCGTCTTTGAAACGCTTCTGTCTTTCTTTTAGCTCTTTTGGTCTTCTCACCCTCCCAAACGCCGTTGTTTAGTTTTCTTTTAGTTTTTCCGAGGCGGGTTTGCTCTATTTTCCTCGCCGATAAGAGTAATATATGAATGTGTGTGCGTCGCTCACTTGTCTCTCGATTTATTCAACGATTTTTTTTTGGGGGGCCTTGCGTGTGCGAAGGCAATTCGGAGAGGCAAATGGCCAAACGACTCAAATTACCCCGGCTGCAGTTTGGCTTAACCCCCCCCACGGTTTTCTATTTATTTACCTTTCGGCGGTTACTAGGTCTACTGTTATTGTTGTTCCTCTACCCAACAATCGCCCCTTTCTTGGTTGGGGTTTTTGTATGCTTTTTTTCTATTTTTAGATAAATTTAAGACTGGCTAATTGAAGAAAAGGGTTGAGATAGGGTTATATATGAAGATTACGCAGTTTTTAAGTTTGGGAATGCTTATCTGCATATCTGAGGTCTAGATATGATCGATCGATCAAAACCAAACAGTCGAGTTGATTATTAAGATCTATACTGTATATATAGGCAACCAGCTGATTCACTCAATGATTTAATAATAATCATTAAATCGCTTATATCATTGGTGTTTCAAGTGCACTTTATGAGTCACTTATAGGTTCCTCGGAAGGGGAATTAACATTAGGCCAATCCCCTGAAAAATATTAACCTCTGATCTTAACTTTCTCATTTCGCCTGCACTTCGTCATATACCTCCCGTCATATATCTCCCAAAATGCCCCCAAAAACCGGACTCATCCAAAGGCCCAATGCCCAATGCCCAATGCCCCATGTCCAACTCAAAACCCAACACTCGACTGCATAACATCAAAACACTGGCATTTGCTGACCATTTCTAAGGCCTCTCTGCGCATTCAGGCATGTAAAATACAAAAACATGTATTTCTCATTTATCATTCTATTTTTTGCTAGCTTTTTTTTTTTTGTAATTTGCTTGCAAAAAACAAAAACACACAGCCAGAACATTTTCACATATTCGTGGGGAATGTGTAGCTGTTAAATTGAATTGCGCGCCAAAAGAGCAGAAAATAAATTGACATTGAATGTAAAATTTATTGAAATTGTTTACGTGGCACTGGGTCCTACATTGTCGAGTGTCGTTATGACAAAAACATTGTACCATATCAAAAAGCTAAAAGCAAAAAAAAAAAAACTGAAAGAGATTTCTCCTCTCGAGGTCTTTTCACTGGAACCACCTTTCTGCTCCAGATGCGCCCTCAACTTGGGCCCTTCTGCAACTGCAGCCGAGTGCAACGAGCCGCTGCAAGATGGACATGGTATATCTTCCACTTCCACAATGGGTCAAACATTCATACTCATCTCATATATATATATATATCTCAATGGAAATCCGGCTGGCACGTAGAAAAGCTTGGGCATTTTCACTCGTAACTCCTTGGTTTTGTTTCTATTTTTTGGTCTCTGGTTACCAGAGGGGGTTTTGTCTTCGCTCTGCGGTGTCTGCCTCACTTTTGCTCATATTTCGCATGGCCAACTAACGGGCCGCGTTGTCTTTGGGCCAATGCCTTTTTAAGTGTGACTAATTATGACTCGGCTGAGGTGTTATTTTCTTGCCGCGAGTTCAACGATCTGGGACTGCCACTTGACTCTCCAGAGCCCCCTCCCCTACCCTCTGCAGCAAAAAGGGCTGACCCACAATCGTTTTTCAGACCTCTTGCGCAATTTGTATCGATTTCGTGAGGCTACGGAAAAAAAGTCCTGCAAGATTTAGGAGACCAAGGGGGGCCAGCTATTGACAGAGTTTACTCCCAAAAAATAAAAGGTGGAAAAGTTGGCTGCAGTTTCCCAACAAGCTCAAGGGGAGAGAAGGAAATTATGCAGGCAATTTAGCCCGAAAACTCTTACGTACAATTTGTTACGAGTTGACAAGGAGGGAGGCTTTGCCTGTATCAGGTAATCAGTCTTGACTTGGCTTTTGAGCTCTGCTGCTGCTGCTGCTGCTGGTGCTGGCTAAGGGCCAAACAGAATTGATGATGTGACATAAGAGCTGAACTTTGCCAGCACTAAGAGGAAGTTATTTAAGATAATCAAAGCACTAAATGTGGGAAAATATAAAGAAGACAATCTTTTCAATCATTTTCATTCATTCTTTGGGCAAAGACTTCCCTTCACAGATAAGAGTTCACCAAATCCTATCTACATTTCATGTTAGCTCTTCGCTATCTACGAGCGTAACATTGTTATTGTCTACCTAATAGATACATATACATTTCGCAATTCATTATCTCAGTTTATGTTTTCAGCCATGAGCCGAGGCCAGCTACCTGAGAGAAACCTCTCGGTTCTAAGCTACCTGACCCTCCATTTCCATATACTCGTATGTATGCAAAGAGAGTGAGGGATACCGGGGAACTTGGTTATGGTCCTCGGTGGTAAGCTTTAAAGAAATAAAAATGAGCAGAGCCTAAAGAGGCTTTTGCCAGATGATGATGAGACCCCAGCCTAGTCAAGATAAAAAACCGTCAGCGATAAGAGCGTTAACAAAATAATAACAAAATAAAAAGCATTTACATATAGCCAGAAGGTCGTGTTCGGACAGCGAGAAAAGTAGCTGTTTCCTCAGCATGGTAAGTCAGTCAGTAACCTATAGCCTGAAGGAGGGGGGTACTGTAGCCCAAGGGGAGGGACTTGGGCCATTAGTGAAATGGCCCTGTCAAGAACTGCGGTCTGGCCAACAGAAGAGAACAGAACAGAACAGAAAAAAAGAAGAATATGTATATGGCTTATTTGGTTTAGGCCATCCTCCTAACGTCTGTTCAATTTGCCTTTTCCTCTTCCAACGCGCTTCATTCGGTTTTAGTAGAAGGTAGCCACTAATTTGCAGCATCACCAAGGCATTTGTTTTGGTTATGGACCAAATCTAATAAGAGCTTTATGAGGATGGAGGAGATCGGATATCAAATTGAACATTAAGGGGAGTATTTGGATTGTCCAGGCAGCCTAAAATACTTTAAGATACTTTTAGAACCTGTATTCATCTTTCTTCATCTTGATTTGACAAAAATATTCATCAAAACTATTTGATTTTATCTAACTAATGTAAGAACAAGTCATTTAGGCTCTAACGATCTAAAAGATCACATTTTAGGGACTTTATGGAGGATGATGTAAGCTTTGGAAAAGTGGAATTTGAAGAATTTCTTTAGCTGGAATAACGATGCTACTTCAGCCATTTAAAAGATTTAAATTTAGTATGATGTAAGCTCTAAATAGTTGGCTTTCTGAGAATTTAACAAATTTCTTTGGCCCGAATGCAGACCCTCCCTAGCCATTTATCAAGCTCTCAAGGTATCTGAGAATTATTTAACGAAAAATTTCAATAAATTAAAAGATAAAAATATATGTTTCGACCAGATAGCTTTCAGATGAGTCGCAGCGATAGTAGACTCGGCGGTACTTGGGCCTTCATTATCACGTAGGCTTTTCTCGATCCCCCATCTTAATTGTAATTTATATCCAACGAGTATGTGGAATATTACACTGAAGGAAAAAGGTGATGATGACAAGTGGTTAAGAATCTATTTCAAGATTTGTTATTTTCTATTTTCTTAAGAAATAAGAAGATGTTGTCTTATTAGTTAATAATTTAAGTTATTAGTCTAAGATCTATGAGAGATCTTTAAGAGAGACAATCTTATCTTAATTTCAAGAATTTCTCTCTGTGCTGAGTTTGCTGTAAGCTCACCTTGGGATCCAAAATGCTGCGCTCCAGGCTATCCTCACGATTCATGGTTGTGGCTGTGCTGCCGGTGCCAGTGCTGCTGCCACCGCCGCCGCCGCCACCGCCCCCCACACTACTGCCACCCCCCTCCCGTTGACTGCTTCGCTCCCTCTCGCGTTCACGCTCCTGCTGCTCCAGTCGAAGACGAGCCCGCTCCACACGCGCCAGTGTCGGACTGTCCAGAATGGAGGGTGCCCGCGAGGGGGGACGCGAATTGTTGGCTCCATTCGTGTGCAATTGCTGCAATTGTTGTTGCAGCTGCTGTTGTTGTTGTTGGTGAAGCGTCTCGAGCGTGGCACTGTTGTTGGAGGAGGTCGAGCCGGGTGTGGGCGTGGCCGAGGACGATGAGTTGGTCATGGTGGCCGTCGACGTTGTGGAAATGGATGTGGTGTGCATGAGCATTTTCCGTTCTGTTGCTTAGACTATGTTGAAGGTTTTTCCTTTGTTTTTTCTTTTAGTTTTTTAATAGTTGGATCGTTGAATTTAGCGGTAACTTAACTGCAACGCTTGCTTATTATTTATGGGGGAATGTTGCACTTTTCGAGTTGACTGTGGGTGGGAGGAGAAACGAAGGGAGGTTTCCATTAGGTTGGGTGTCTAACAACGGGCTGATTTTTAAGAAAATATCAAATAATTGATTGCAGTAAGTTTAAGTTTATTGCCTGTCTAATGTGATTTTTATTAAATATAATTCATATCTTTATTTAATTTTTCTCTTTTTTGTTGACTGGCTCAGCTCACTGCCAATAAAGTTCTTCTCTCCTGCATAGAAACTAGAATCTAACATGAAAAAACCAATAATAAATTACAGTCGCATTACTTAAATGCAAATCTAATTCAAAAATCAGTTTTCCAATCTAACAGCATTTCCCTTAAGTCCCTCAACTCCTTAACTTAAACCAGCTAAGCCACCTTTTAGAGCTCAGTTTTTAAGCTAGAACCCCTTGACACCTTTCGTAATTTATGTCTGCAACAATTGCATTTCTTATCACTGCTATCCATTCCGCTCACTTAATTTATGACTCCTCTATCTGAACGCTGGCAGCCGCCAATTTTGGCTTGTTATTATTGCCATTTTCCTTTCAGCAATCCACCAAGGAGTGCAGCCAAACAAAAAAGAAGCATAACGAGAAATAAAAACTAAACTAAAACCAATACAAGAGCGCAGTCAATAATTTTCACAAAACTGGTTTTCTTTTTTTTCGGGTTTTTCGGTCTGGGCAGGTCTCTAAAGTCTCTGTTGCAGGTAGTTTTTACTTTCGCACAATAAACACTGCGTATCTTTTGCTTGGCAAAGGGGGGTAGGGGGTTTTAAGGGAAATGGTAGGGGAAACTGCAAAGTGCATGCCGAAAGATACAAATGTATCTTTTTTGCTTATATATATTTTTTTTTTATTATTCTTGGGCACTTTTCAAGCAGTTTATTGGCCGGATCAGATCAATTTGTTTGCTGACGTCGGTTTGGGGGTATTATTTATATTTTCTTGGCGCGTTGCTTTCGCATATGGGATGCCAAACACGTTTGTTTTGATATTTCCGCTGACATATTAATTCTTGAATTTGGTTTCTTTGGCTGATTGGTTGATTTCTTGGTTGCACATACTTCTATAGGTTAATTACAATTTGTTGGCAGCGCGTCGCGTCGCATTTCTTTGCGGTTTGTCGGAGTTTGGCGCTTGTGGTTTTGGCAAATTGAAAAAACCAATTTTGCTTTGGGCCAAAATTTTATTTTCAAATTGTATTTGTCGCGCAAAGCAAACGAGCGACCGAAGCGAAGGCTTACTGTCCACGCGAGCTGCCCGTCGATGACTGGCGCAACGAAAACTGGTTTGCCATCGCGTCCTATGCATCGGCATGCGGTTGTTGCATCGAACATGTTCGAGAGGCGAACAGTGGGCTGAACAGTGGGTCGATTGGAGTAAGCCAAAAATTTGATTCACTTGAGTTACGTTACATTTTCTTTAAAAATTCATCGCTTTGCTTGTTTTTAATGATAAATCACAGGCCAATGGAATAATTTTATGAAAAAATGTGTGACCCATTAAGAAACATATTTAATCCTACATTTAGTCATAGTAAATAAACATTATTAAGACTTAAAAAACATTCAAAACACATTGAAAAAATCATTTCATATCATCATTCGTCGGCAAAAACAGAATTTATAAAAATATTTCCTTGTACAAAAATTCGAATTTAATCCATTGTGTAGAAATGGATTTTATATGCATTTATAGTTTACATCATTATATCAAGTTATTCGATTTATTATATTTATAATAATAATTTTATGTTTTTTTAATGATATATATAAAATATATAAATTATATATATTTTTTTCCTTTTCTTTATGAACATAATTTTTATGCTTTGCTAAATCGGAATCTACCCACTGTGCGCTGTTCGAGTTGTTTTGACAATTTCCCAGTATTTTGATTAGTTCGTTTAGTCAGCAATGCATCACCCAAAATTATTAAAAGAATGTCTTTTTATTTCCTGGAATGCCCGAATGAAATATTTTTAAATAAATAAATATACTAACTTGAAAATTGTGATGATTAGTTAATATCTTTAATGTGTTTTACCCGAAATTTTATTTTTTGTTAGATTAAATACAAAATACAAATTCCTACTTAGTTTTGAAATAAAATATTCAGTGTTTTATTTTTTTTTTTTATCATTAATATAATTTTTTTAAATATAATATTTAATCAGTCTTAAGTTATATTTTCAAGCAAATAACATGTAATTTTTGTTTATTGTTATTGCTCAGCCCAAAGATATATAATTTTAAAGAATCATAAAAATGTTTTTCTTAGGGAAATTAAATTTCCCAAAACAAACTGACTTGCAACCTCACGCATGTCCAACTCGAACCAGCACTCCAGAAATTCCTTCACATAACAGGAATAAAATATTATTGATGCGACGAACGCGAAAATGAAAGATAAAAGCTAAAGGCTTAAATCGCTATAAGAGGGTCTTATATATTATATATTTTCTATATTTTCTTCCTTAAAGTTCATATATTATTCGTTGTTTGGATTTTTAAATTAAAATTTGTTTTTGCTTTGAGAGTAGATAGATTTATTTCCCTCTTCTCTTCAGATTCCCTTGCGTTGGTGGCTTGAAAACAGGTTGTTCCCTTCGCTTTTTCCTGGGGATTTAAGAGGTTTATGGTCTCTCGGCAAACGAGCCACAAATTGTGGCATGCTGGTCCAGTTCAATGTCCCAGCATTGGTTTCGGGAATCGTTTGAATTGTGTTAATTCTTTTTTTTCCTTCTTTTTAAATGAAATAATCGAAGCACTTGAGAATGGCAGCGAAAACGAACGGTACTTGACTCATTGTATCATTGAAGAATTACCATCAGATGAGAATAGCTGTGGACTCATCGGGGGTCTAAGAAGTGTCTGGGATCCAGCGATGATGATTCACCGTGAATTTCACATACTGCCACACATGCTAATATCTGCGGTATGCGAATCACGCAATTATGCAAATCACCGGCAAATCGGCAAATCGCTATCTGTCTTTATTTTGCGCCAAACTTAAAGACGGAACGTGCCATTTCTGGCCGATCTATGGAGGTATCTATATATCTTTTTGGTTACTACTCAGTTTTAGTTTCCAATTACCAGATTGACACGCCATTCATGAGACTCTAAATCTTTTTTTTTTGGGCTGCGGTCTTTGGTCTGGCGCCATGTATAATTTTTATAATTTTTGGGATATAAATGCGATGAAAATTTGTCGTGTCTTTCGGCTTGTGTCTTATGTTTAGTGGTTTCGGGGGGAGATTCTCAGAATTTAACATGTTCTTTGGGTTTATTTCGAATGGATTTTATTTTTTGATTATGTGTCTGGCGACCAAGACACAAGTGGCTTGATAACTTTATTAGCCGTGTTCTCAATGTTCGACTGTCTGGTCGCCTGTGTTTGGTGTTCGTGTAATTTGTTGTGATTATCGGATCATGATTGGGCGGTTTAGAAACGTGATCATGGGGAATGGGGAGACAAGAGTTCTTCTAAGAGACACATTCAAAGGTAACATATCAAAAATTATGATCGAGGGACTATTGTGTCAGCTGCTATCTTATCTTTTTAGGATTATGAGAACATTGTTATTTTGAGGGGGCAATTAGGGTGGGAGTTATATTATATCATGAAGAAATAATCTTGCTTTTGAGAAAAGTTTGTATACTAAAAAGTGTTTTTTTTAAGGAAATATTTTAGACTAAACATTAGTAGGTAATCTGTTTGTGTTATTGTTTCTTATCCCTTGGATTACTCCTTAATTGAATGTTACGGGAAGTCTCATAAATAAATACTTGACAATCTAATGCTTATCTAATCGGAATATATATATAAAGAACCATTTAATAGACCCCTAAGTGTGCCATTTGTGGTGTCTTTTTCATAATCATTCAAATGTTTCTATGGCTTTCTATAGCTTCTACTCCGCCGTAGAAGGGGGCCTTTTTGTGCCGCATTTCCGTTCCGTATTGGAAAAAGCTTCGTTTTTAATGATTTCTTTTTGTTCTAACATTTTCAATGGTTTATCAAAATGCCGGCGACGCCGTTTCGTCTGGTAGCCTTTTAAGACTAAAGTTTCTTCTGCTCTTCCATGCCTGTGTTTTCCCCTCTCTCTCTCTCTCTCTCTCTGTGTATAGTTCTGTACTTCCGCCCCCCTTTTCTTCTGGATTTTCCACTATGCATATCGACTTGGCCATATCTTTAGTATGCATTCGACGCATTCGAGAAGTTTTTTTCCCCTTTTATCGCAAACTTTGGCAGGGCAGGAAAAGGCGCGTTCGGACTTTGTTCGCTCTTTTCTCTCGTTTTTCTCTCCATATTTTATTCATTTTTACAAGTGTATATATGGAGATTTGTCATATGTTTTGTATGCACTGCATAAAACAATGCAAAACTGACATTTCCTCAACTCGCCTTTCACTCTTATCAGCAGCCAAAGAAAAAACCAGCTGGTCCGGCTATTCCTCAACATGCTGGTTGTCGGATGCCGATTACTGATTCCTTCCCTTCGTTGTCAGGCGGTCTTAAATACTCCTAGAATCCCACAGTCTGACTGGAGTCCAGATAAGCCCTACTACCGAAGTGATAATAAAGCACAAGAACTGCCGAGTCAAAAGAGCAAACTGCGCTCTGATTGCCAACTGACGATTCCAGATTGCCGATGTGCTGCAATTCATGATTGCGAAAGCTTCCTATTAGTGCCAGAAATGCTCGGTTTAGCTATAAGTCATGTGATTCTGATTATTGATGTGGGATATAATGGTGTTTATGTGCTCTGATCAGAATATCTTAGTCCTTATCTTTTATATGGAGTATTGAACTTGCTGTATCCTAAAAGAAAAAAGATTACTTTATTTTTAAATTAGAACCTTACTAGAACCTTCTATTACCTGCCTAAAAGTAACATAAATAATATAAAAACTTACTTCAATAAACATTTTTAAGAACTTTGTGTTAAAGTATTTATTTTTTATTTAACTTATTCATAAGAAAACATTGCAATCAACTTTTTTGATTAAAAAACGTATTAAAACAATAAATAAAATTCCTGATCATTACAAAGTTCTACATATTCGCTTTCATTTCCTCGAGTTGATTAATTTTTTATGAGCACTTTGCATATTTTCCAGATTGCAAACTTCATCTTTCTGGGCTGATGGCTTGTTTTCAAAACAGCCATCCATTAATCACTGATAAAATGTCGAAGTGCGATTCCATTTATATTAATTTATTTGCCGTTTATTTAACAGCAAACTGATTGTGCATTTTCTGAATCAGTTTCCGCGGACTGCTCGTGGCACTGACCATGGGCAATTAGTCAACGTGCGGCGCTTGTAATAGAAACTAATAGGCACTCCCATTACAATTTCAATTTCAATTCCTATTCCTATTCTCATTCCAATTCCTCATAAAGACATTCCGAAAAACACGCATTCTCTTCTAGCAACTTCAAAGGGGGCCGTCCGGAGGGGCACTTTTAATTAGCTGTGTAAATTGGTCAACGAAAATTAAATTAATTACTCTAAGCGATGTTAATAACTTTATCGGCGTTGACAACTTTATTGGCCATCAACTGGGGTCTCGACTTTGATTGTTAGTTGTTAGGAGAACAGATTTAAGAGTAGATCATTTAAGATGAGGGAATATTTAAGAGTCAGCAAAATTTATACGGGGGCATTCAACTCTGGTGGTCATCTGAAATGTATTCGAAAAACAATGTTTATTATGGGAAAATAAGATATTTATTAAGGAAAGTTTGTCATTGAATTACAAAGACTTTCAGTTGTTTTTACGAATTTTCCACTTATATCCATATCAGCTCCTTACACTTCCTTCATAGTTCATTGAGTTTTAACCACAACAAACTGGATCCCAGCTATGATTTCAGCCTTGACTTCATTTGCGGCCTCACTAGTTCGCATACCGATTCACATTCCTTGGCCAACTGACTGACTACCTGGCCTCTTTGGCTCACAGGTAGCCGAAATCCTCACTCATTGAAAACGCTCATAATCTTATTAGAATTCGATTGCGGTGCCAGAATCGTTTGAATTCGAACAGAAAAAAAGGGTCTGCCATCATTTCATTAAAATGGTTTCGATGTTCGCCGCTATTTCTTTTGTCCCTCTGATATTGACGCCCGCCTGTCTATCGCATCTTTTCAATAATAATTTGGGTTTTATTTAACCGCCAACGAAATACAAAAATTATTGCCTGACTTGGCCAATGACTTTCTGGGCAGAGAGGCTGAGTCATTGATGTCAGTTTCGTGGAAGAGGCAACGAGATGAAGATGGGATTGGGATCTTCTTCGATGCTGATGATGATACACAGCAAACAGGACAAATTGATGCTGGCTTGATAAATGACTGATTAATCGCTCGT